ATTGGATGCTCTTGAACCCTGTGAAGATTTGGACTCTCCTGCGAATGAAGAAAGTGAGGAAGAAAAGGAAGAGATAATATCTGTAGTTATTGAGGAACCAAAAGAGAAGTGGGATTGTGAATCCATCTTGAGTAAGTGTTTTGGAGTTTGCTTGTTTGTTCCTAGGACATCAAAGTAAATGACAGGTGATCTCAGAACTTTTCCAGCAGTGCTTTAGGTAAAACAGTTTATGCTCTGAGCACAACAGCAGGAATTTCCAAAGCCTAAGTAGTAGTACAACTCATAATAAACTTACCTCGTTTCTCTTTCCAAACCCTTCACTGCTTTCTTTTTCCTTTGTGCCCTAGGTACATATTCAAACTTATATAATCATCCAACCCTTATTAAGGAGCCATCAAAGGTAAAATTATTAAACTTATTCTAATGAATAACACTGGGAAAACTTGACACAAAAGTGCGTTTTTTTTCTCAATGCTGCTCCTGCTTTAAAAGAAGGAGCAGAAAAGAGGGTTGGGGAGGGTGTTAGCCTCTGGTGTTATTTTTTCACTTAAAAAGGGTTTGGATATACTTTTTTCTATGAGGAGGAAAATTGAGTCAGTTCAAAATATCTGTAATAGCTAGGCAGAAATGTACAGATTAAGGAATTCACTTTTTTGTTATCTATCATATAGCTTTCTATAATGCATGTCTCACAACTACTTATTAGTTCGGATTTTTTTTTCTGCAGTTTGAAACAGTTTATTCTAGTTCTTTGGCCTTCCAGATGTTCCCCATCATTAGAGCACAGCTCAATATTCCAAAGTTTGAAAGGAAACCTTTTTCTTGCAAGCTTATAAAGGAATACTAAGTGCCTACTGAAGTTCTTTTTTTTTTTTCTTTTCAGTAATAATTAAATAAAAGGGAAAATTGTTTTTCATGTTCTGGGAGGCTAGATTCTGTTCACAGATGTGTTTGATTTCTTACTTTGGGATTAATGTGCATTTTTCTGGAGGAACAAAATAGTATGGGGAAACTCACGTGTTTGTTGCTGTCAAATCTGAATCTAATGTTTTTATACTGCTAACACAGTGCAATGTGCACTTCTTGTAGAGAAAAGTAGGGACCATTAATACATATGCACTCTCTATTTTAGCCCAAGCCAATAAAAATTTCTCAGAAGACTGGAATTCCTCTACATATCTTGCCTCAGAAAGGTCTTACCGCTAAGCAGGTTGAACGCATGCAAATGATTAATGGCAGTGACCTGCCAAAAGCATCAACACAACCTCGTTCCAAAGATGAGAGCAAAGAGGATCGCAAGGCTAGAAAACAGGCAATAAAAGAGGAACGAAAGGTACTTATTATTTTAAGTAAGACCTTGCAAAACCATGTTGTATTATGTGTCTTATGAACTTTATTTAAAGCTTGCTTGTTTTCATGTCTGGAAGTAATGGGAAAAACTTGCTGGTCTCAAAGGACTAGAAAGAAAGTTAAGATAATTTTGTCATCCTGGTTTTCAATGTCAAAGCTTTGGGTTTGTTATTGTGGCCACTGCTGCAGATAAAACTTCGGAAGGAACTTCAGATTTCCTTATAATCTAGAGTAGCAAAGGAAACATTTATGATGTTTCAGATTACATAAAGTGAAAAGTATCTGAAAGAAACTATGGAATAGTGGAAAAAAAATGGAAAATCTAATTGCCCACAATTAAATACTAGCTGTTTTTCTTAGAAACAGAAATAGCCAGCATATTAGAAGCTTCAGGTAACTTAATGTTAATCCTGGTGGTACACATATTAATTTGACTTCTGTTAATTAGTGCCATAAATGATAATATTGTCCAGATTGCTCTTGTTCTCATGATCTAGAACAGTTAATTAGAATTGTTTGATTTTGCATGTTAATTCTTATTTTGTAAATTTCTAATTATTCATGTGCATAGGAACGCAGAATGGAGAAGAAAGCCAACAAACTTGCCTTCAAATTGGAGAAAACAAGGCAAGAAAAAGAGTTGCTCAATCTGAAACAAAATGTTCAAGGACTGAAGCTGTCTTGATGAAACTGAGAAGCTTATTGTGGAAACATCCTTAATTTCTGATTTGTATTGAGAAGGGAACTGCCAACTGGAGAACCTTGCCAGTCCTGCTTAAAGGGAGTTGTTCAGATCTCACTGTAACAAGACCACAGTAACTTGTTATTCTTTCTGAAATGAAATTCTACATAAAACAATGTGTTAGGGATGTTTATTCTGTCATGAATGACAAGACAACTGTTGCAAAGTTTCATTACAGTATAAGTGTATTAAAATAATTGAAAATATTTTTGTTACACGCTGAACAGAGTTTCATATATATATATTTGTTCAATGTATTCAGCAAATCAGCAGAATCCTACAGATTTGATCTGATTAGATTCTTCTATTAAATTATTTCATTTTACATAGCAATATTTTCATTTATGTCTTCTCTCCCTTATACTGATGGTTGAATATAGTGCCTTGATATAGCACAGTTTTGTAAGTCAAGGAGTTTTCACCCACTCCTCCTTGGTTCTTTTCTGGGTAGGTTATTTGTTGTTTTGGTGCTATTACAAAAGCTGTAGAATAACCTCTTCTAAGCAGAGGTGTCTGAAAAGCCCTTGTGTAGGTAGACATCCCTGTTACCTAACCTGACTTTTATGTTTCATGGCAAATAAAATCTGTTTCAACAAGTGTTGCACTTACAGTAGTCAGTGACCCCTTACAGTTGCTATTGGAATTGGCTTTGCTGAAAGTATTCACTCTGAGTAGTGTGGCAAACAAAACAGGAGATAATTAGAAAAATGTTGTAGATAATTAGAAAATGTTGTAGATAGTCATGGTCTTGATTTTCCTGAAATACTATTCCTCAGGTCTTGCATTCAGTTTGGTTTCATTGAAATACAAGTTTAAGACCCACCACAAATTTTTGAAGATGAGCAGATGGCCAGAATCGAGGCTTGGTATGATCTTAAATGTTTATACTGTGCTCGTGAGTTATCTTGATAGTGACCAGTCCATTATGTGTGAATGAAATGAATAGTATTTGTAGTCAGTCATAAATCCTTATGTATTAATAAGAAACCCTCAGGTTTAGGTCCTTAGGCTACAGACTGAGCAGTCTTCTGCCTTTAGGTGAAAAGTTAACCATTTTACTGTAAGGAACCAATGCATCAGTGGAGTGGCCTGACTACTGTTGAATTCAAAGCATCTGAAATATTCCTTAAGTAGTTTTGTGAATACTAAATGGAGACAAGCTTGCGGAGGGACTGATGAGGCTGTTTAATGTACAGAAACAATTCAAAGTACTTGGAGGGAGACTTTTATACTATATTCTAATTGGTAAAGTAAGATGATTTTGGAGAAAGGAATAAAGAGGTATTTGAGTCTACAAGTCTCTTGATCACTGCTCAGAAAACTAAAGTGTCAATGCAGTATGCACATCTAGATTAAGCCTTTGTTTTCTCAAATTGTATGTGTTAACTGAATCAGTAGAAATCATCTGTAAGATTAGGAAAAAGTTTCAGAGTTTTCCTTTAGCTAGTTTCCTTTACCTGTACTAGTTTTCATGTGTTTCACAAGCTTAAGCAGGGTCTGCCCATGTCATAATTGCTAATGTAATCGCTGATTGTGTGGTAACTTGGATGGTGAGCTTTTGAGTAACGAATACTGACCACCTAGTACTCGTGACTCCTGACAACAACATAGAAAAGGAAATCTGAGAAGCAATTCTGTTGAGATGAGTCAGATCCCAGGAAAGAAGTTAAATGGAACAAGTGAGTAACAGATGCTGTTCAGTTGTTTGGGTGGAATGTGATTTTGTGATTTACCAAAAAGGACAGTGCATGTGTTCTTTGCTAGATTTTTCATTGCTGATTCAATGATACTGTGCTTGTACCTAAAGTCCTTTTTTTCTAAAAAAAACCCCAAAAAGTTCCTCTATCAGTCAAAACCTTGAGGGGATGAGAAAGAATAAAGAGGTGGAGGAGGCAGAGGAAGACAGACACAGCTGTTGATTGGGAACAAAAGGGGAAAGACATTTTTGACTTTTTCTATTGCCTTTGTTTGAAAGTTATAGAATTGCTTTGTTCCTCTGCACTTGTAATCAATGAAACACTGTAGTAACATTAACTCTGTGCCTTGGAGTATGTTGAAGTCCTAAGGAAAAGGTAAGAAACAAAAACAGTCACTCATCTGCTTTAGCAAGACAAGGATTTCTTTTGTTTTAGCAAGAGCAGGTAAGGAACAGTTAAATGAGAAGTCCTTACAGAAGTTAGTTCAGAGAAGTACCTCTGTAGGCTTACCAGTCTAATGAAAAGGACTGTGTTATTCAGGTTTTCCTAAGGGCTGTTTCTGTTTAATAAAAGTCACGTCCCTGCTCTGCAATGAGAGTATGTGACTGCCTTTGGTGTCAGAGGGGCCTAAAACTACTTTCCATGTAACTTTAACACCTATTTTTTCAAAAAAATTACTGATTTAAAAACAAACATCCCCAAAAAATTGACATCTACAAAGTAAGATCATCTTGGAATGCTGTTTAGCAAGCATATCATGGAAATGTTGCGCCTTAATGAAGATAATGTCACACATTGCATGGCACTTTCTACCTTCTGAAATAGCAACAGTTCAGCCTGAGCCATTACAGGGTGTCATTAGTTCCTGCTGACTTCCAAACAAAATAGAATAAATCTGAGTGCAGATCGCCTGCCCTTGCTTCCCAGCCCCCCTCCCTGAATTTAGGGAGTGATGAACTTAAGTACTGTTCCATCACCTCCTCAGCCAACCGTGATGTCATTGTGAAAGCACATACCTAAGCAGTCATGTGGAAAACAGAATGCTGCCCATCATAGTAAAGGAGAGCTTGTGCTTAGTAGGAACGGGATAAATAAGGAGTTCTGCAAAAGGGAACCCTGGCATGGAACTGGAGGGTTGGATTCGATAATCCTTGTGAGTCCTTTCCAATTCAGGATATTCTGTGATTCTATGGAGATGTCCCTTTCTGACAATGAAGTACTGTTTCAGCCAGAGCTGAGTCCAAGTGCCAACTCTGCTATAGTCAAGCTGTCCTGTACTGTGTAACAGACTCTTGCATGGTTTGCACTTTACACAGCTGTGTGAAGTCAAGATCTGGCTCCTCCTACAACCTGTGGAAAACATTCTGTACAGGATGTTCTGGTAAAACAAAAATCTTTTTTTTTTTAATGGGAATGTCAATGCATTTAGCTGAAAGGGGTAGTGAGTACTGGGGAAGGAGGAGGTGACTGCTAGTAGAGAAGAGGGTTGAACACATTTAAAACAGCAAATTATCTAGTAACTGCTTTCATTAGTGAACTTGATTAGAGAATTAATCGATGTGCACAGAAATATTGTGACTTCATCTTCAGTCTTGTGCTATCTTAATTTACCTTCTTGTCCTAAACCATGTCCAAAAATGTCCTGTATATTGAATTTAAAATAATGTATTTTCTCTTGGTGAGGCGTAAATTACTAACCTGAAGCTTCCTATTTGTTCCAGGTTTTTAGGCTGAATTTGTTATTTGAGGCTTCTTGAGAAAAATAGACTAATAAACCATCTGATAAGTAGTCCCTTTGACAGCATAATGTGGGCACCAGGCTCTGTTCCAAAGCTTGCTGAAGTGAATGAAAAGATTCCCCTTGACCTCCCTGATCCCTGGATTACAAACTGAATGGGTGGCTGCACAGTTTGCCTGGCACCACCCAACTGCATATTTTTTTCTGCAAGGGGTGGGGCTCTGCATGCACCCCTCTGCTCCTCAGTTTGTGTTACTGATCCTGTGTCTCTGTGGTAGATCAGATCAGCCCTGCAATAGTACTGAAAACTGATTTAAGAAAAAAAAATCCAAGAACAATACACTTGAATCTGAGTGACTGTGGAGTGCCAAGACAAAGGTGCAACTATGCATTGGTCGTTTTGTGTTTGGTATCTCAGATCAGGTACAGGAAGAACACAATGGTTTAATTTAGCAAAACAGATTGAGAAGAGATACATCTATGTTTTGGGAGAGGTGAGAAGTTTCCTGTCACTGTGACTAGTGTGAAACACAGGTCTTATAGTGGCTCTCTGTGCCCCAGCGATGCAGGACTGCTATGCTCCTCAGTGAGCAAGGCATAGGTATTTGCTGCTGTTTTGGTCCTGCAGAGAAATATTCGTCTTGAGTTTGCTGTCAAAAATGTCTAGAAACAGAGGCTAAGGACCTGAAGCACATGAATAAAAGGTTCAAAGGGAAATTAGAATTTCAAAATGTGTTGAAGTAGAATGAGTTGCTTTTTGGTCCAGCTGAGCTGCAACCAAAATGCCTTGCTTAGGCAGCTACTTAATAAGTAAAAAAAAAAGAAAAGTGAAGTTGATGCTAAAATTTGGCACTAGTTATCTATCTACCTAAAATTTCCCAGCTTCCAGCTGCAGGTGCTGTCCCTAGTTTTCCTTCTGTGCTGTCAGGTTATGGGTGCTGGTAAGCAGCTGCTCCGATTCAGCCTGGGGCTGTGGCTATTTCAGTGGTGTTTCAGTGCTCTAATAAGCGCTGCTGTTTGTCAGAGGAGCCCCCACTCTGAAACACTTATCTAAACTCAGAGAACTAATAATGTAAATCTTGGCCCCTTGAATAGGGTCAGACTGTTCTCCCTCTTAACCAAGAAAAAAGAAAGAAAACCAGGTGTGGTGGGGGAGTCCAACAGGACGGCTCCTGTTCACAGACCCAGTTTGTTCTTTTCTGCAAGTCATTATTAGTACTGACCTCCAGCATGTCCCTGAGCAGAACAAGCTGGAAATGGCTTCTATTTCTTATTTGTGTTGAACTGCAGCTGTACTTAGACTGCTTTTTAAGTTTTGATGAACTCCTTCAGGAGTTAAACTGAACCCAAAATAAATACTGCTGCAGCTCCCTGCTCCTGAATATAAGTAATTTTAAAGCCTGAATAAGGAAGCATCATTAACAAAGCATGACTCCAACCCATTAAAAAATGTTTTTCTTTGGATCCCAGCTGAGACATGATCCAATGTGCAAGAAAGCCTTCAACAGGAAGTGCAAGCCCTTCAGCATTTTGAAACAGAGACTGCAGGGAACAGAAATCATCACTGTGAAGAAGCAGCCCCCACAAAAGCTATAGTTAAAATTGAAGTGTGTGTGTTATCTCCATATGAAGTCTTTCATTCAGTAACACTATTGTTTCCTCCAAGGACAAAACCTGGATGTTACGGATGAGTCTCACATATGTGCTTGACCGGGTGCCAAATTCTTTCCTCCCCCTCCCTGTGCTGCTAGTGTTTGGGAATATTTCTCTGTTGAGAAGCCAAATCAGTAGGTGTCATGACTACCCTGGGTATGCAAGTGTCTCTGCTCTTCTAGGAAATGTTAAAATATGCCTTTTAAAGACAATGTGAGAGTCTAACAGCTTCATCTTCACCTAAATCTGAAAGAGAGCATGATCCAAGATGGTTGATGCATGAATGCCCCAGGTTGAACCTGAAAGTTGTCAGTAGCCCCTTAAGTTAAATTCAGAGATTCACTGCTATTGAACTGAAGGGTTTAAAAGTGTATTTAAATTGAACTTATTTACAGAGATGGAGGAAAAGATGCTTTAGCTTTTACTGGAAGAAGTATATTTGTTGGGGAGGAGGGGAATACACATGGATATGCATATGTATTATTTTACTCAGACATGCCAAATCATTGCTGATTTGGTATCCATGCAGACTGCTGTTGTAAAATGTCCTTTAAAATCGGTTGTGGAAAGAAATAGAAGTGCGCAAAGGTTTAAAGCAAGAAGAATGTGACAAGTGGAGAGGGGAAGGTGATGGTCATAGTGTCTTTTCTATTCCCTCTTAAGTACTCTTTGGTCTGCCACGACCAGGGTGTTCTGTTGGAGTGCATTGTTCTTTTATCCATCTTCTGGTGCTGTCAATAGACAGTGAAGGTCTAAATCAGCTTTCCCATGCCTTTCAAAAAAAGCAAATTTCTTTTGTTTGTAATGCTTTTTCTTTCCCTCAGAAAGGAAGAACCTTCGCTCAGGAGAAGTATGGTTTGTGTCTTCTCTTATTTCCATTACAGAAACAGCTAGGGAAGAAATCTAACTGGAAGCAGAGGATTTTGTTAATATTTTTCAATCAGCCAAGCAGGTCACAAAAGCTCTAAAGGAGGGCCACCCTCTTCCACCTCCTCCCCTGCCAAGCATGAATCCAGGTTTGTGATCTATTTTATATTGTTGCTATTCTTGGACTGATCTTTGGTAAAGCAGTTACCTCTTATTAACTGCAGATGGGCTTCAGTTTTGCACTCCTGGCACAACACAGCGTGAACATCAATTCCCTCCATAATTGCCTAGAAGTGCAAAGCAGAGGCAGTGAAGAGGAAGAGAAAACTAACTGTACCTCTTAAGTTTAAAGGCAGCAAGACTGGGATTTGATATTAACACTTTGGGAGGAGAGTCCAGATAGCTGTACTACAATGTAATAGAGGGTGAAATACATCCTCTCACCATTCAAAACAACTGTACTGCACACAGGCTTCCCCACTCCCACGTGGTGGCTTTTCCACTGTCTCCTTCCCCATCCAACTGTGCAGTCAGGGGAAGTCATTTAGCGAAAGACAGGTCTGGTTTACTAAAAATACCAGGTTTGGTCTCTGCACTGTATTACAAGTTACAGATCCAAAATGATGCACATACTGCCAATATCTCATGATAATGTGATTTATAAAATGTGGGAGCAACCTTGGAAAGGGTCTCAGTGGAGTCCTGCCTGCGTTAGGAAGGTGGAGAGCAGGAGGGGGATGGGGGGCTCTCTGGGCTCACTTCCAGAGTAGGAATTCATTACTGATAGCAAAAGCATCTGCCACGATTCCAGCCTCTCTCCTCTCCTAGATGATGGTGATGCAGTATAAGCAGCAGGACACCTCTTCCTTCCTTGATTGGGGTCAAACTTCTCTCTGAATTTCCACTGCTGAATTCTTTAATGACTCTGTTATTTCTTTTCTAGCTTTACCAACTTTAAGAACAGACCCTCCCTTTCCTTCTCCCTATTGGAGGAATCCAAATTCTGCAAGAGCAGCAGTAGTTGTGGAGAAAGGAAGTAAATAACTACTTTTTAGGGAGGACAAGTTGCTGAGTGGCCTAGTGAGGGTGTATATCCCATACTACGGGACTGGAGAGAAAGTACATGGATTTTGGGAAGGAGAGAGATATTCCTTTCTCCTCTCATCATTCTCCAAACAGAGCCCAAAACCTCCCCATTTTCCCCTGAAGTTCCAGGTGCCCTTACCAGCCCCCTGAAGCCAGGCATCTGCCCTATCTTGTCCTCCCCTCCTCTGTGTTCACAACCATTATGCCCATGATGCTGGTCTGAAGCTGGCTTTTGATGGCTGCTTGCGCCATTTTTTCTGTATTGTTACAGAGAGAAAGCATTTGTAAAGATTCTATATCCTTAGTATTAGGATAAGGACACTTGGACTTCTTTTGTAAAAGGCACTGGACAGGGAGAAAGGGTCTGGGAATGGCAAGGGCGATGTGATGGCTGAATTGTGACTGCGCTGACCCTGAACACTGTTCATCGAAATGAGTCGGACTGCACCAGCCATGTGTCACTGAATAGCTTTTAGTAGAATCAGGACTGTAAAACTGTCAGAAAAGACTTTAGAAAGCACCACTGTGTGTTCTTCACAGTGCTGCTTCACACCCAGAAACCTGGCTCTTAGATGTGCCTCAGCTGGTGGGGTACAACTTCTTCAGCAGTGGTTTGCTAAATCACAGAATCACAGAATGAATTGGGTTTTAAAAGACCTCTGAGATCATAGAGTCCAACCTATGACCCAACACCACCATGTCAATTAGACCATGGCATTAAGTGCCACATCCAGTTAAATGCCTCCAGGTGACTCCACCACCTCCCTGGGCAGTCCATTCCAGCATCTAATCACTCTTCCTGTGAAGAAATTCTTCCTAATGTCCAACCTAAACCTCCCCCGGTGCAGCTTAAGACAATGCCCTTTTGTCCTGTTCCTCGCTGCCTGGGAGAAGAGGCCGACCCCCACCTGGCTACAATCTCCTTTCAGGTAGTTGTAGAGAGCAATAAGGTCTTCCCTGAGCCCCTTTTCTTCAGGCTAAACAACCCCCGCACCCTCAGCTGCTCATCATAGGGCTTGTGCTCCATTCCATTCACCAGCTCTGTTGCCCTTCTCTGGACACACTCCAACACCTCAATGTCCTTCCTGAAGTAAGAGGCCCAAAACTGAACACAGGATTTGAGGTGTGGCATCACCAATGTGGAGTACAGGGGAAGAATGACTTCCCTGGTCCTGCTGGCTACAATATTGCTGATACAGGCCAGGATGCCATTGACCCTCTTGGCTGGCTGTTGACCAGCACCCCCAGGTCCTTTTCCACGTGGCCACTTTCCAACCACACTTCCTCCAGCCTGTAGCACTGCATGGGGTTGTTGTGGCCAAAGTGCAGGATCTGGCACTCGATCTTGTTGAAACTCATACCGTTGGTTTTATCCCATTGATCCAGCCTGTCCAGATTCCTGTGTAGAGCCTTCCTACTCTCCAGCAGATCAACACTCCAACCCAGCTTGGTGCCATTCACAAATTTATTATGGGTAAATTCTATCCCCTCGTACAGATCATCAATAAAGATATTATACAGAACTGAGCCCAGCACTGATCCCTTGGGGACACCACTTGTGACTGAATGCCAGTGGGTCATTCACATGTGGCACCATTCCCCAGCAATCTCTGGGCCTGGCCGTTCAGCCAGTTCTTAACCCGGCAGAGAGTGCTCCTATCCAAGCTGTGGGCTGTCAGCTTTTCCAGGAGTATGCTGTGGGAAATGGTGTCAAAGGCTTTGCTGAAGTCTAGGTAGACTACATCCTCAGCCATTCCCTCATCCACCAGGTGGGTCACCCGGCCATAAAAGTAGATCGGGTTGGTCAGGCAGGACCTGACTTTTCCACACCTGTGCGAGCTGGGTCTGATCCCTTGGTTGTCCTGTATGTGCTGTGTGATGGCACTGAAGATGATCTCCTCCATAACCTTCTCCAGCACCAAGGTCAGGCTGAAAGGTCTGTATTTCCCCACATCCTCCTTCCAGCCACTCTTGGGGATGGGCATCACATTAGCCAACCTCCAGTTTTCTGGGACCTCCCTGTTTAGCCAGGATTGATGATAAGCGATGGAGAGTGCTTCTTCCAGCTCCCTCACCCTAGGATGAATCTCATCTGGTCCTACAGACTCATGAGCATCTAAGTGGCTCAGCAGGTCACAAACTACTTCCTCCTGGATTATGGGGTATCCATTCTGCTCCCCGTCCCTGCTTACCAGCAGGGGGCCAGGGGATAACCGATCTTATTGCTGAAGACTGAGGCAAAGAAGGTGTTAAGTACCTCCGCCTGTTCCTCATCTTTGGTAGCTATATTCCACCCGGCTCCAATAGAGAATGAAAGTTTTCCTTGACCCTCCCTTTGTTATTAATGTATTTATAAAAACACAAGTGGCCAGGTTAAGTTCTAACTGAGCTTCTGCCTTTCTAATCTTCTCTCTACATGACCTAACGACATCCTTAAACACTTCTTGAGTTGCCTGCCCCTTTTTCCAAAGGTAATACACCCTCTTTTTTTTCCAGAGTTCCTGCAAAAACTCTGTGCTCAGCCAGGCTGATCTTCCCTGCTGGCTTGTCTTTTGGTACATAGAGACAGCCTGTTCCTGTGCCTTCAAGATTTCTTTCTTAAAGCATGCCCAGCCTTCCTGGGCCCCTTTGTTTTTAATGGTTGCTTTTCCAGAAACTCTCTAAATCGGTGTCCTGAATAGGCTAATGTCTGCCCTCCAAAAGTCCTGGGCAGAGGTTTTGTTGATGCCCCTCCTTACTTCACCAGTTATTGAAAACTATCATATCGTGGTTGCCGTGCCCAAGATTGCCTCTGACAATGTCACACCAGCCCTTCACTGTTTGTAAACATCAGGTCTAGCAGGGCCCCACCCCCAGTAGGCTTACTTACCAGCTGTGACTGGAAGTTGTCTTCCACACACTCCAGGAACCTCCTAGACTGCCTCCTCTCTGCTGTCCTGAGTTTCCAGCACATTAAAGTCTCCCACAAGCTGGCGATTGTGAAATATCAGCCAGCTGCTTAGAGAACAGTTCATCCACCTCTTCATACTGGCTGGGTGGTTTCTAACAGACTTCCACCAGGATATGTGCCTTGCTAGCCTTCCCCCTGATTCTCACCCATAGGAACTCAACTTCACTGTCCTTTCCTCAAGCTCTATGCAGTCAAAACACTTCCTAATGTACAGAGCCACCCCACAGTCTCTCCTTCTTCTCCTGTCCCTTGTGAAGAGCTTATAACCATCCATTGCAGCACTCCAGTCATGTGAGTCATCCCACCACACTTCTGTGATGGCAACTGTGTCATATCTTTCCTGCTGCACAATGGCTACCAGTTTCTCCTGTTTGTTACCCATACTGCATAGATTCCTTTTTTCCCTTTTAGACAGGTGAAACCCATCTGTCTCCAGCAGGCCTGGTGCCGTACAAATAGCCCCATGATAAGAAAAAACAAAATTCCACTGATGGCACCACTCTTTAAGCTACTTGTTGATCATGTGGGTTTTCCTGTTCCTTTCAGCATTCATCCCTGCTACCTAAGAAACTGAGGAGAATGCCACGTGTGTTCCTGTCCCTTCAACCAGGCAGCCCAGTGCCTTGAAGTCCTTTTTGATTACCCTAGTACCTTTCTTATCCACCTTATTGCTGCCAGCCTGGACAAGCAGTAGTGGGTAATAATCAGAGGGCCAAATTAGTCCAGGGAGTCTCCTTGTAATATCCCTTACCTGGGCCCCAGGGAAGCAGCAGACTTCTCTGTGGGATGGGTCTGATCAGCATACAGGACCAACAGTTCTCCTTAAAAGTGAGTCATCCACTACAACTACCCTTCTTTTTTTCTTAATACCTGTAGCTGTAGTCTGTCTGGTTGACTGCACCGATCTAGGAGATCCCCCCAGAAAGACGTTCTTCTTCACTGTCATCTGCCTGACTCTCAAATTCCAGGGCCTCATACCCATTCTGTAAGGGCTCCTGGAAAGGTGAGGGAGGCCGGGAAAGGATTTTTCTACCTCCCCAGGCAGGGACCTGTTTCCACTCCCCTCTTTTATGTCTTCTGCCTGATGGCAAGAGGGCAGGGCTCCTCTGACTTGCTGAGTTTCCATCCGCTGCATTTCTCTCAGGGATGGAAGGAAACTCCACTAGTTTATTTTTCTTTCACACTCCCTGATACTCTTTTGTCTCCACCTCCTCTTTAGGCTCTGCCATCAGGCAGAGCAGATCATCCATGAGTTCAGACTGCATGCAGGTGTCTTTTGCTCTGTCCTCCGGCACTTAACACACGGCTCAGACACTCCATGCTGCCAGAGACCTGTATAGCTGCATGCTTCTTGTGGAGCTCTGTCTGGGTTGCCACGGTCCTACTAGCAATGGCTTTTGACCATTTCTGGGTCTATTCTAGTTGGGCAGTTGAAGAACCACCAGTGAGGTGGGCTTACCTCAGGAGCTGGGAGGGTGGCTGTGCCCTCCTACAGGCCCTGCCTGCACCAACTGCTGCACTGCACTCCCTGGAGCCATTTAAACCTCCTGGCAATGCCCTCTCCTTGCCTGATGAGCTTCCGAGGGCTTCCATGTCCTGACAGGGCTCTGGCCTGCTGCTCAGGAGTCCCTGGGCTCAGGAACTCTCTGTACAGGTCTATCTAACCCTCAACCCCAAACTTACCTCAGTCAATGTTGCTGCCACCTCAACAAAATAGCAACCTTAATGACCAGTCTTCGAAAATAGTCTTAAAATCATTGGGCTTGTCTATGCTAGGAATTTTTAAATAATGCTGTTCCTGCAGACTTGTTAATTATGAGGTTGGGGGTGGCCAGGAACAGGACAAAGATAATAAAATCTGCTTTTATTAATCCTCAGGGATTTATTTCTGAAAGCAATTACTGTTTGCTGGGTTAATATCATAAGGACATATTTTAGGATCCCAAGTGTTTTTCTAGAGAAAGTTTTTGTAGTTCTCCAAGGTATGTACTTTGGGAGCTGATGGGAACTCATCATGGTTACCTGCTGGTGGAGCCAGGTTTTGAACTGCATCTGGAGTGCTCCAGGAAAGCAGGGCAATTTTTCTCCTGTACTGTATAAACTGTGACACAAGCTGTTCCTTTCTTATGGTCAGACTATATTCAGTGTCCACACTGCTCACGGAAGTTTAGTGAGGCTGCAGCACAGAGGCACATGGAGTTTTCTGAAGAACAAGCTGTCTACCGTGCTGCAAAGACCACTGGACAGGCTTCGGTAAGTACGCACAGTCACATTTGCATGGTCCTGGAGGGAGATTTGGCAAACTTCAGTTCATGGTGAGTAAAGACCTATATTAATATAAAACTCTTTAAACAAGGTACATGCTGAATATCAGCTGGGAGTTGCCCATAACTGGAGCCCTTTGTCTGATTAAAAAGTGACAGAGTATGACAGCATGAAAAAGTTGGGACAGTAATTTCCTCAGGCTCTTCTGCAATTGGATTCCAGGGTAATTCCAGGTAGTTCTGCTGTAGGGAAGCAGAAAACTGGCAACTTTTGCAAAACACAGAGAAAGCTCTTCCTGTCCATTAGGGCTCCCTGCCGTTGGAAGGTCTGCTGTTCCCTTGTCATTAGACGCAAGGCCAAAGGGGTGAGCCCCTTTGAGGGATCAGAAAAGTGAAGGTAATCCTTAGTCTCTTGAAGTGAGATCTCGTTTCATTATAGAAAAAGAATAATGTAAATTGTTCCTTTAGGAGAGTACTGGGGGTTTGTTTGTTTGTTTTGTTAAAGATATTTGAAAATATTATTACTCTTTCACCTATTTTGGGCACGAAAAATGACTTCCAAGTGAGAGAGGGTGGACCTTTTTCCTGTTCCTTCTAGCACTGCTTAAACAGCAATTTGGAGAGTTTTCACTGGGCTCCATAAGTTCCTTGCTAGAGTTGAGTGGTGATTGTGCATCTTCTTTTACTAGGACAAGCAGCCATTGACTCAGAGAAAAACTCCGACATTAACACCTGCTGTGTTATTGCTTCTGGAGAGAGTACAAAAAGGTGCCAACCCAGACAAACCTAGCTTAGGTAGAGTTCATTTAGTCGTATTTATGTTTTTCTTGTAACAAACTGTGATGTATTTGAGGTGAGCGAGGCATTTTTAAAGCAGATCATAGGCTTTGGAATCCAGTTTTCTGATAGAATAATGTTGAATTATAAATTTTGACTTTTTGTGGGTTTTTTTTTAAGTCTTGACATGAAAACCTAAACTCATTTGCATACAGGGTCAAAAATTTCCAAGTGGATGTTGTTGATATTGAATGGCTTTCCTGGTCATTATCCTGCTCCATTGTGTGGAGTGTATGCCCAGAGGTTTTCATTTGGGTGCTCAGGAGGGCCTTATTGTTTTCATTGAGAGGTCCTCAAACAGAAGTATTTATATAGACCTAAAATATACAGTCTGGGTTTGAGGTTTATTCTGTTCCATAAAGGACTTCATAACTTTTAATCTTCAATTTCAAGATTTATTCCATCATTTTTACCTTTTCTTAGATCCATTTAGATGAAGTATGAAGTATGTTGTTTGTTCCATATGACTTTGCCCTTGTTGATTTAGCCTTAAAAGTAACACCACCACTTCCCTAAAACAGTTCCCTCTATAAAATGTGTTTTCTAGATCCCATTGCTACTGGTTAATCATGACTCATACTCAATCTATGTTTAGAAGATGTTTTATAAAGTTATTTTAAAGGTTATTTGCAGTATAACGTGTCTGATAATACAAACTGCTCTTTGTATCAATATCTTTGATCCCTACATTTCTGGAGTTTGTGTTGAATTTATGTAGTTAATCATGTTTTATGGCCAATAATTTTTTTAAATAACGATCTGCAGAGACCTCTTTAGAAATACTGAAGAAAGCTGGAAAATCTTGGGGTGTATCTACTGGGAAAAATTCTTCAGGAAAGTTTGGGTAAGAATTTTTTTTTTTTGATTTCAACATTATAACATAAAAGGACCTTGATTGCTTTTGTGATACAGAATATCACAGAATCACAGAATCACAGAATATGTTGAGATGGAAGGGACCCACAAGGATCATCAAAGTCCAACTCCTGGCCCTGCACAGGACCATCCCCAACAGTCACACCACGTGCCCGAGAGCATTGTCCAAACACTTCCTGAATGCTGTCAGGCTTGGTGATGTGACCACTTCCCTGGGGAGCCTGTTCCAGCTCCCAACCACCCTCTGGGTGAAGAAACTTTTTCTAATATCCAACCTAAACCTCCCCTGACACAACTTCAGGCCATTCCCTCTGTTCTATCACTAGTCACCACAGAGAAGAGATCAGTGCCTGCCCCTCCTCTTCCCCTCACAAGGAAGTTGTAGACTGCAATGAGGTCTCCCCTCAGTCTCCTCTTCTCCAGCTGAACAGACCAAGAGACCTCAGCCGCTCCTCATACAGCTTCCCCTCAAGGCCCTTCACCATCTTTGTTGCCCTCCTTTGGATGCTTTCTAACAGCTTAATATCTTTCTTATATTGTGGTGCCCAAAACTACACGTAATATTCAAGGTGAGGCCACACCAATGCAGAGCAGAGTGGGACAATCCCCTCCCTCGACTGGCTGGAGATGCTTTGCCTGATGCCTCCCAGGACACAGTTGGCCCTCCTGGCTGCCAGGGCACTGCTGATTCATATTCAACTCGCCATCGACCAGGACCCCCAGGTCCCTTTCCGTGGCACTGCTTTCCAGCATCTCATTCCCCAGTTTGTACGTACATCCAGGGTTGCCCTGTCCCAGGTGCAGAATCCAGCACTTTGCCTTGTTAAACCTCCTATGGTTGGTGATTGCCCAGTCCTCTAATTTGTTGAGGTCTCTCTGCAGGGCCTCCCTGCCTTTGAGAGAGTCAACAGCTCCTCCCAGTTTTGTGTCATCTGCAAACTTGCTCAGTATCCCTTCCAGTCCTGCATCCAAGTCATTTAGGGAGATGTTGAAGAGCATAGGGCCCAAGACAGAGCCCTGTGGAACCCCACTAGTAACAGGTCACCAGTCTGGTGTCACCCCATTCATATTACCCTCTGTGCTCAACCCGTGAGCCAATTGCTCACCCACCACATGATGTGTTTATCCAGTTGTGTGCTGAACATTTAGACCAGAAGGATACTGTGAGAGACAGTATTGAAAGCTTTACTGAGATCCAAAAAGATGACATCAGCAGGCTTCCCTTGATCAAGTAGGTGCATTACCTTGTCATAAAAGGAAATTCAGGTTTGATAAGCAGGACTTTCCTCTCACAAAGCTGTGCTGACTGTGACCAATGACAGCATTGTCTTTCAGGTGTTTTTCAATATATCCTGTTGCAGTGTTTACAGTATGAGCTTCTTTGTATTATTTGAAGCAATTAGTTGTACTGAAACTTTTGTGGAGCTCCTCAGGCCCCCAGTGTAGGCTGCTGAGAAATTCATTTTGGAATTAAATGTTCTTCTGGAACAGCCCCATCTCAGGTAGGCAGTGGCTGTGCTCTGCTGTTACAGGCATCTTGAGAGGATTTGGTGCTCAATAATGCAAACCTCTCTGACAGATCTTGTGCTCTTACAATTTCCCAGACCATGATGTTTGGGCTTCTGCTCCTCAGACCATGCAGACAGTGGGGTTCCTGTTTTGGGCCATGCAAAGCCATGTCAGAGCAGCAAAAAGGCCTCCAGCCTGTTTGAGGTGGTCATGGTGCTGTTACTCTAGGGGATGGCTCAGGTGATCAGCATCTTGCACCCCTGTGACATGTATACAACTGCAGAATATGAGATCGCAGCAGGAAATGTGGCCAAGAATTATTCCTTGTAGCTGGCAAGGTATTTTGAGCCTGGGAGATGAGCTTGTGAGAGTGCTTGGAGCACGGGATGAAGAGAAATGTGCACAAAACGGAGTTTCACATTCCAAGTCATTGCAGGGTTCTTCTATGTGCAGTTTTACTGTCCTTGATTGCTGCTGGTCAGTGCCTGGTACCTCCAGTTGTGGGAAAGACTGCAATGGGCATGGTGCTATTATCAGCTCCACCTACCTCCATGACTTTACCAGCTGCAGGAAAAACTGTTGTCAGTACCCAGTAGTCTCATCTGGTGGTCTCCACTCCCCGGATTACCTGTGACTATGTACCTGTGACTATGTTAACAGTATAATAACTCTTAAGGTTATCATGCAGGGTCTGGCAGACCAGCAACAGGGACTTATTGATGCCATCACCATTCTTTAAGTTTAGCCACTGAACTCTGAAACCTGGGGCTTGGCAGGCTTGGGGAGGAGACACCTCTTTTCCCTAGGGATACTGGCGAGTCCAGGTATCACTGGGGTTGTAGTTGCAGCCAGTTTATAGAGGCTTGGGACAGCCATTGCCTCCAGCAGTCCCCAGGACAGGCATCCACACTAGCATCCAAAATAGAGGACAGCGGAACTGCAGAAAGGACTGGCCTGGGTGAGCTTGCAGGTGCTGGACTGTTGGCAGCTGCTGCATTTTCTATAGAACTTGAGCTTTGCCAGGTGCTTTACAGAGCACTTTGTGCAGGCAAAAGATCAGTTTCAGTGCTACTCAAGAGCACTTTTTAGCTGAGAAAGCAGATGTGAGAAACTGGCTTTGAATAGTGTAAATAAATCCTTAATCTGCCTGGAAATGGTTTTCAGGATGAGCTGCTCCATCACCTTCCCAAGGATAGAGGTTTAATTTTCTTAGATAAAATGGGGTAAAATATAAAGACTGTTTCTATAATAGGAAATAGCAAGTATATGGCTTGTTGCTGCTTTTAGACCGCAAATGGACAACAGAAGATAGAGTGGCTGGTTGGCGAGGATGTGTTAAGGCTTTCTTCTAACACATTATGGAAGATCTTAAGCAACACAGTTTTCCAGTACCACTTCTGCCTAAAGTTCTACAGCTACCATGTTCAATAAAATAAGCAAACTGAAAGTCATTGATTGTGAGAGTATTTGTATTAGTTGCCAAGATTTAATTAAATGATTGCCTGGAGGGGATTGCTATTACCATGGGTTCATTAAATGGTTTAACAAAATGTAGAAAGATGCAGTACCATGTGATTTTTCCTTTCCCCTAATGCTTTGATATATTGAACAAGACAAGTGAACATTCTGGAATTTCATGTAAATATTTAATAGAATCTTTCAGTAAACAATAAAATGATTATTGATAGTGATTGATATGTGATAAATGGTGGCGTATATTGTGCATCTTTTTCAAAGCACTTCAAGTTCAGACTAAACCCAAATCCCATTCTTGCATTAAACACAAATTGCTTCTAGAAATTGATTAATAAGACAGAAATATTGTGAAGGCATATCCTTTCTTATTTTTTTGGCCACTTGATCCACTGTCAGCCTTGGATCACCTTGCATAAACTTTCAATGATGCAACATGTAGGGTTTTTTTAGCTTAATAATTTTCATTAAGGCTTTCCATTAAAATCCATAAGGAATTTTCTTACCTATTAAATACTTAAAAAGTAAACAAAGATGAAAAGTAGTTGGACACAGCAATAGGAAATATCAGACTTTACAGAGTTTAATTAAACTGTACTTAGGCTCTAGCCAATAATGGTTAGATAAATACAGAAAGGATGACACTGAAGCAAACCTAAGTCCTATGCTAGACTCTTAGAAACAGCGGGCATGACATTATCCACAATATACTAAAGCAGTGCTGCTTAGCCTTTCTTAAAATCCAGAAAGAAGAGGGAAAAAAAACCCCAAACACATTCCCCACTATCCTGTGCAAAATGAATCCTCAAAAGTTAGAGCAAGTTTTACTGTATTTGTTGTTGTGTGTGTCCCCCAATTATTTTCTGTCTGAGGATAAAAGTATTTGATTTCACAGCTTAGTTTCCAGTATCTTACAAAAAATATAAGGGCAGGAACGGTGTATTGAAGAACAGAATTTTAAAAATTCCATTAGCAAGAAATGAACCAATCATTAATATATGGAATGTACCATCATAGTTCAGACTGGCAGTGCAAAATTCTCTGGAATTAACAGCAACTCATTGATTAAGAAAATGGAAAGTCCCAACAGAAAAAGCTGGTAAATAAAAATGAAGGAAAAAGAAATTAACATTGTTTCTGATAGAGGATGGAACTTAGCAATAGAACTACTTGTGTTTACATAGAGGACGCAGTCTTGTTCAATGTAGTATAATTTTAGCTTCTTGACAGTATTTCAGCAGGTTTACATGCCATTTTTCTTTCATAAAATGAGTACACACTTTTGTATGACACCAAATGTTTACTAAATTTCGTTATTTGTTAGTATCATTTGATTATAGTAATTCTGTTGTTTTATCACCACATACTGCTCTGCTTCTACAGATTTTCAAACAGAGTTTAGGTAAAAGAGTATTTTTATCTCTATTAGGATGGGAGGTAAAATGTCCGAAGATCTCCCAGATCTTTCATCTCTTAGCTGGTATTCCATGGTCTACCTTACCTTCTCCATGCCAGCTCTCTGCTCTTGGATTCTCCTCTCACATTTAGAGGAGAAATTGGCTGTGCCAGAGAGGAGGGAGGATTGGACACTGCTTGGGCTGCTGCTTTCCTCCACTGTACCGCTACTGTACGTGAGGCTGCCTCTCCTCACACTGCTGCTGTCACAGCCCTGCATGAGCCAAAGGCAGTGCCACCAGAGAGATGTCCCGTAGCTCTTGCTGCCTTCTCCCCTGTCACTGCCTGAAGTCAGACCTGCCTGCCCGCCTGCTGCAGCCCCATCCCCTCAGACACCACAGGGAGACCTGGTGAGCTTGCTGTTGTCTTCACACCTTTCCCTTGGCACCGCCCCCTGCCAAAATGAAACTACTGCTCTTTAAGCAATGTGATATTCAGGCCCACACCAGGCTGGTCTACTGAGCCCAAAATATTTGTTTGCCTAGAAACAAAGTATTCTTCAGCTTCAACTACTGGAGGCCTCTCAAAAATGGTCACAGAGGTCCCCGTAGCAAAAGTGGTGAGAAAGTCCAGCCCTACTTACAGTATGACTCGGGGGTATCTCTTCAGTTGTGAGAATTTTAAAACAATTTTTTTGAAAATATAACTTTTTGAAATAGCTTGCCTTCCTTTGTGATGGGACATCCTCAGCTTTCACTACATTTATGATGTCAAGAATCCGGAAAAAGAAACTTGAATGGGCTGACAGGTTAAAGCTGCAGTACTACACATTTACCCAGGAACAATCCTTTGTCCTGACCACCCTTGCAGGATGTAACAAATATATCCAGAACATACTGAGCCTGGGCAGTAGACAACAGATTAGCAAAGGCATATAGTGCTTTTGGAAAACTCCATAAAAGAGTCTGCCGTAATAAATACTTGAAGAAAAGTACAAAGATCAGTGTTTACAAAGCCATAGTGCTGTCTACTCTTTTATATGGTTCCAAATCATGGGTCATCTACCGCCACCACCTGCGACTCTTAGAACTCTTCCATCAACGCTGCCTCCGTACAATCCTAAACATCCACTGGTCAGATTACGTGACCAATACATCTGTTCTAGAACAAGCAGCAGTCACAACTATTGAGGCCATGTTGCTGAGAACACAGCTGCGTTGGGCAGGACACGTCTCAAGGATGAAGGACCACCGCCTCCCTAAGATCCTGCTTTATGGTGAACTTGCCACTGGCTGCTGCAAGAGAGGAGCCCCGAAGAAAAGATACAAGGACTCCCTGAAGCAACATCTCAGCCTTGGCCATATTGATCAACATAACTGGTCTACTCTGGCCTCAAATCGGGAGGCCTGGAGACACACCATCTATAACGCTGCTGCTTCCTTCGAGAACGCATGCAGGATCACTCTCGAAAAGAAAAGACGGTGCAGAAAGAATCGTGCCTTGCAGAATATACCACCTAAGGAGTCTTTCTGCTGTGCCTTTTGTAATCGGACGTGTTTATCTTGTATTGGCCTTATTAGCCACCAGCATGCCTGCAACAAATGTGGATAGAGCCTTTCCCAAATCTTCGTTCGCGAAGCCCAGCCATGATGATGATGATGATGACTACACATTTAAGGTTTGTTTCTGTGGTTTACTTGCCAACACCATCATTGTGTGTTTTTTTAAGCATTTTAAAACGCATCAAAAGCGGTAATTTTTATTTTATTTGAATGAGATTTGGTCTTTAACCCATAGCTAGATATGCATTGGTTTCAGCTGCTTATCATTCTGTATTTCAGAAGAGGCTGAGTTCAGGCAGCAGAACCTCTTCTGACAGGTCAGAGCTCAGGCACCCTGCTACAGAGTGCTAAAAGACAGCAGAAAGAACACAGGTGCCACTTTAGCTCAGTGTTTGCATAATGATTCCCTCTTAACATCACATTTTAATTCAAGGACAAGTACTTCAGTAATTATTTACACCTCTTATAAAAGCACAAATCAAAATGACAAAATGTGTATATGATCAGGCAATGCTACAAAATTGAGTAGTTTTTTTTGTTGTGGTTTAGTTGTTGGGAATTTTTTTTTTACAGGTACATACAGAAGTTTGGATGAAGCCAAGTGAATACAGTTTGCACAAACAAGGAAAACAATGCAGTAAGTGAATATAAACACACCTTTCCAAGTCCAGATGAAAATAAGAGCCTAGCTGTAGAATGTGCATGTAACATTGATTAGAACTTTTTCTCTGTTCTGGAACTCACAATTTCAATAACTCTTAACTGGGCATGACTATGCAGCACCTGCTCTTCCTCTTGCTGTTGTCATTACAAGAATGATCTTAAGATTCCTTTTGGTTTGCCTTATGCCAAAAATTTTCATAACAAAAAACACCCCTCAGCACTGTATCTGCAGAAGATATTATCGCATGAACTGTAATAATACAACCTTTCCTTAATCCAAGTACCAATAAACTTCTAAGAGTATTTAGATAATTGAAGTTGTACAATGTCATTGTAGCTCAGTAACATCAAAACAGAAATAACTTAAAAACTACTTTTTATTTGAACCTGTCTGAAAATATTCCTGTAACTAATGAGGGAGAAGAGAACATGCATGTTTCATACTACATTTGTAATGATCATTAGGTACTATGAACTCTTTTTGGATTTAATGGGAGAGTAGCTCTTGGGGTTTGAGAATTTACTCAGATTCAGAAATTTCGTGTCTGTTTTAGCAGCAACAGAATCCATTAGTCACTGTATCATCCACTAATGCCAGGATTATTTTTTTTTTTAACTATGGGTTAGGTAAGAAACCAAATTGTGAAGAGTTTGTTGGTTTTGGTTTGTTTTTTTTTTAAATAATGTCATCTATCAGGAAATGTGATTTTTGCAATTTCTGCTCGTTCATGCATCAGGTGCTAGGACTGTCACACCAACAAACTGACAACTGGAAATATTCATGGGCAATTTACCCCAGGAAACAAAACGGAAGTCCCCATGGTTCTGGTTTGGAAGAAACAAATGCTGGAATGTAGCTGTCCCAGTGCTACTGAGGAAAAATCCCATGATTAAAATGGCCTGAACTGTTATCACACCCGCTAATTTCAGGCAACACTTGTGAGGCAGATTCTGACCCTGGTTTTGACCCTGGCCTACTGTCAGCTCACCACCACAGCCCTTATGTGCGTGGACATGCCCCTGGCCCCAGAGAGGTCCTGCTTGGGCGCAGGCTCCCCTGGGCCAGGGTTTGCTTTCTGAAAGCCCACGTTTCAGATAGTTACAATTAATTATCATATCCCAGACTAAAGAAAGGCCATTTTTATCAACAAAAGGTGAATAAAGGCTCCTTAGGTAGGAAGTATTATATTTTATTAAATGTTAAATTAATCAAGTTGTTGACCCTATGGGAGAACATGCTTAAATTTAAGCAAAGGTTTAAGTGCTTTACTAGAGAGAGAGAGAGAAAGCAGTGCCTGATACCTTGGCAGATCTGGTTGTAAATGAAAAGTAAAGTTTTGTTATAACCTTTGAGACAATTCACTTTCCATTCTGAAAACTGTACATATACAAAATAGCAGTTCTTACATAGTCGTTCAGAAGTGATAGTTACCTCCAGCCCAAGGGAAAAGGCATGAGATGCACACAGCTGAACTGCATGTCAGAAAACAAAATCTAGTTAAACATAATCACAATAGTGATGATCTTCATTTGAAAAAAGTGAAACAAGGAGGTAAGATTTACTCCTGGAATGATTCAGATTTAAAATAAAGATTAATGAACTTCATTAATTAAGTGCTTAACAGAAATCTATGTGATGTTGATAATCTGTTTGTTACATTTGCCATGTGTACAAATTTGCTGTGATTTATGGCTCATTAAAATGATTTTTCCGTGATTTCCCCGTTCTTCCCATTCCCCCTAACCTTATTTCTGCTACTGCAGCAGTCATAGTTTTATTGTGCCTGTTATGATACTTTTCAATTGTTGAAGATATTTATTCAGTTGTTTGCATGAAAGGTAACAACAAAAATATAGAGGGAGCTGAGGGAAATATGTTAGTTCTACTGTTGTCATATGCTAAAAAAACTAATAGTAGTATGAAAAATAGAGCTTCTTATTTATTAACATCCTGAATTTAACTACCATGTTCATAATGCGCTTTGAAAACATTTGGGGCAGTTTTTCTTAAAAACAAAACAAAACCTAAACCACCCCATCCTAACAGATTTAAGTAAGAAGCACGGTCTTAGAAAAAAAAAAGGGAAAAAACCCCACACAGGGTGATAGTTACTTGAAGGCATGGTGAAAATGAGGCAAGGTTACAGAATTTGTAGTGGATGGAAAGGAGCGAGGAAAATGATGCAGCTGGTTTATGGCCATCCCACCAGTTGCTAGCTGAAGACCTTGCTGTTGGCCGAGGCCATTCAGCCTGTGTGATGGTTCCTCTGGGCCAAATGCCATTGTGAAGTCCCCAACAGTGTTCTGGTTGTCACCTGGTGGGAGCTGCCAGAAACTCATCACATGAGTGAGATCCATGAAAGGCAGACTTGTAGTTTCAGTGGCTGCCTCTGTCTCTTTGTGCGCTGGGTACTTGTTAGTATCCCCTACAGGCCCTGAGGAAGCTTCTTCCATACTGATTTTGTGGAGAGACTGAGGTTCTGGTAACGGCAGGTCCTCGAGAAGATGCACGTTGTAACCTTTAACATCCACTTTTATTGGTAGATTCTTGAGGGATCCTGCTGCAAGTGAGGTAGAACTAAGGTCATATTTATTAGGCTGATGAAGGTTCAGGTTGGTAGGGACGGCTGTTGAACATGGTGTGGGATGGAGAGCTGGAAGGCTGTCTGCACAGCCCATCCTTTGCAAGTGAGGAGAAGGTTCAAGAGGAAGAGCAGTTTGTAAGCTTGGCTGGGAATGAAGAAGTGAACAGTTGTATTCCTCTGATTCTGAACTATTCACAATACCATTCTGCACAGAGACCCTTTCAGGAAGAGGGGACAGCATGCTGGCATCTTCCTTCAGTCTGTATGGAAAAAGCTGGTCAAGGAGACCTACTGAGTCACCATTCTGCAACCTGCTCTTTAGCAGTTCCTGTGGATGAGTCTTCCTGGTATGGCGTGTCAAGTGGTCCTTCCGCCCAAACCTTTGGGCACAAAACTGACACAGAAAGTCTTTACAGCCTGTGTGAACCACCATGTGACGCCGCACATCTTTACGGGTATAGAAGTGACGCTCACAGTGGTCACATTTATGTTTCTTTTCCTTCATATTGCCAGCTGGCTTCCCTGCATGACTTTTGAGGTGTTCCAACAGAACCTCAGTACCGCCAAACTCTTGGGCACATACCCTACAGGTAAGGTCCCCACTGGTGGCAGCGTGAAGAGCCAAGTGTCTCTTATAGCCTAGCTTGGTGTTGTACTTCTTGTCACACTCTTCACACTTGAAGGCCATCTTGTTAGGGTCATGAGTCTGAAGGTGATTCTTTAGATGGTCTTTCCTGTGAAAGGTCTTTTCACAGTAGCCACATTGGTGAGATTTCTGTGGAGAATGAGTAGCAGAGTGCCTAGGACAAAAAAACAGAACACACACACAAAAAAGTTACTTGTGTTTACATTTATTCTAGCACATTTACTCTCACAGATTCAAGACTTGAAAACACTGGCCTTTTTTCAAGTTCCCAGGTTATTAGAAAAACCCTAAATTTTTTTGGGGGGGAAAGGTTTTAATCATAAATCATAGAGTAGGTTAAAACTGCTCAACACAGTCTTTTTGAGCAGCCACCACAATTAAGGGAGACTAGTTTTCTCCAATTCTACCCAAATAGGAATAATAAAACCTGGAACTCAGGGATTAACTGTCACTAGAACACCCCTCACATCCAGCAGAAAACGAATGCCTTCAGAGCTGTACCTGAGCAGTTTATATTTGGAAATGAAGGCTTTTGTGCATCCGTGCTGTGAACACTTGTAGGGGCGCTCCCCTTTGTGCGTGTAAGTGTGGACCGTGAGCTTGTCAAAGGAATCAAATATCTTCCCACAGAGTCGGCAGGGGTAACTGTCTGGCTGCTTCACTTCTTTTCCCTTCAACAGTGAAGACCGACCATTTCTCCATTTAGGTATAAACCTCACGAGAGCATCACAAGTGCTTCCTGAGCTGGCACAGCTAAACTTTGCAGCAGAGGAACAGGAAATGGTCCCAAAGCACTGAGTAATGCTTTTGCCTAATGACGCTCCTCTTAGTTTCCCTTTGAGTTTGCTTTTTGCTTTTACAGGTCCCAATTTATTTGGTGCTCTGAACCTCGTAGGAAGGACTCGGTCTTTATGGATGCACTGGTGAGATTCCAGCAGAGCAAAAGTTGCAAAAGTGCTTCCACAACTGGAGCATATCCAAGGGTCTACAGGCTCTTTCTGCAATGAGAATAGAAACAGTTCTTTCTTATTAGCCATTCTAAGGAAAGGTCATATTCTTCTCACCAATCTTCTCCTGGGCTTTCCCATATCCATTGTTGTCTTTGGCAATAGTTACTTCTATGTACTACCACACCAGTGTTCAACTGACAGTAGATTCTCTCTAAGAATACAAACTCGAAGGAAAAAAAAGGTTGGCTAAATACTGATTTACATTGGTTTTTTTTAGCATTTACTGTAACAGTCCTAAGTCCTTCATCTTTGTTTATCTGCGCTTACTGAATTTCAAAGTCTCTACATTTGTTGCATTTATGAAATTACTTATAAAAGAAGCTAAAAATTGTACTTTAGAGTGGCATAATTTATCTGCTATTGCAACCTCACAAAAATGTCTGATTTTCTGCACACTAATGTAGTTTAGCCATATAGGATTTCCCTGTGTTTTGGATGGACTCCATGCTTTACCAGACAGCAATGGTCAATGTCTCCAGGAGAGGCTTCCTCACTTAGCTTGACATTTGGCATTAGATTTTCATTAACCGAATAAGAAACATTTTGGTTTTAGGGATCTCAAGCCTATCCTGAATTAGAGGTATTAAATTATTTCTGGGTTTGGGGTTTTTTTATACAGTATATTATTTGGAAGTACTATCTCTGTGGAAATAAGAGCTCTATTGGATTCAGTTGAATTCACTTTAAATACTGACATTATAAAATTTCTAATGAAAAACAAATACAAAAAACCTCCAATCGCTGATGAAATGTACTTCCAATTAATACATGACAATGTACTTCCTCAGTTGTGTCTATCTTTTATGTAAGCTTCTCATAAACTGACTTTACTTTCCCTTGCTCCTGGGCTAGCTTGCTCTGGAGAGCATGGTGAGGCTGAGTCCATTCCATCTTTATTTCCAGACTGAGCCCTCCTCTCTGTTACTCATGTCTGATGCTGTGGCTCTCTCACACCTTCCTTCTGGGGCATACTCTGAAGGCCTCATATGCCTTCTTGGAGAATGAATTCCCAGTTCATTTGTATTCCCTGTTTCACATTTCCTTCTAGCTTGAGTATCAATTTTCACAGCCACATTTTCAACACTTTATAAACTTTTCCTATCAGTTTAAGGATTTCTGCTATCAGAGGGGGAGGTATTGGGATTAGAAGGGTTGTTGCACAGGAAAGACTGAAATAATCAGTGGATAATCCGACCAATTGGTCAGAGCATAACAAGGGGAAACGGTGAAAGAAGTCTGAGGTTGGACTGCTTGGTTATGCATGAATTAGTGACAGTGTTTAGTCTTCCCAATACATCGAGCGGTGCCTCTTATTTCTGACTACATCTAATGGCTCCATTGGATTACAAACATAGGAGAGGAAGAGCAGCCTTTCTCTGAGTAGTTGTTTGGTTAAAATTGCTCTTGGCTTAGTGTTAGCCAACTACTCTATAGTCTAACCTTGCATGACCAGAGTTACATTAACAGAAGAAGCACGTAAATAAACTATAATTTACTATGTATAGTGATGGTCTGAATACAGATTAGGGGTACTTACTGCGACTGGAGGCAAAGGACAGACATCTGATTCTTCTTTAATGAAGACTGCGGAAGCTTCCATAAATTTGGCGTAATCGGCAGCATACCATACTTTCAGTTCTGTGTGGGGTTCAATTGGCTGTGAATGGAAAAAATATAGCACATGTTTACTTGAGCCTATTTTCCTAAACCAAATAATATGGAAGATTGGAGGGGCTGGGGTGTGCAAGTTGTTGTCCTTACCCAAACTACACTCTTTGACTCTGTCTAAATTATTGGTAATTTAGTTTCAAGATTCAAGCACTTTTTGAGCATTATTACCCACTAGGGCTTAACACTTTCTGTTTCTAAAAGCAGAATTGTGCAGAGATTTGGGGGGTAGGGGCAATAGCAGGAGGGATGCCTCAATCCTCATGACCTTTGATCAGTGAGATGTATTTCTCTGTGATGTTCAGATAACCAGCAGTCTTTCCAAGCAATACCCCATGCCCATTCCTTGATGTCTGGAAGCCCACTGGACACAACACTTAACTACAGGGTACAGACAAAGGAAAAACCCATCATGAATGCACAACAGCTTGGATGCCTCCTGGATATGTCACACTGAGCATGGGTGCAGAGCCGACCAATATGTGGACTGCCACTCAAATTGGCATGTTTCCATGTGCTAGCTCTGATGTGTCAGGCTCATTAAGCGTGTGCTTTATTGTAACTCTCCCCTCCTTCCACTGAAGCCTTCCCCCACAGGATTAAGGGAGCCCATAATCTGCCGTCTCCCATCCAGTCATGCTTGCCCAAATCTTTCCTTGGACTGGACTATGACCTCTTCTGACAAATACTTTCAGTCAATAGAACAGCAAATAGAAGAGAGGAGTGATTACACTCACTGGCTAAAGATCTGTTAGTTCTTTAAAAGCAAAGGAGAAAACTAAACTTTGGGGTCATGATTTATATGACTCCCTGACCCTGTACACAATTTTCTTCATCTATAATAAAACCCAACACTGCTGCTACAGGGGTAGAGCCAAACTGCACTGTAGTTTGTAGTTTTATTTTAACTAAGCTAAACTTGTGTCACTGAAAAAAAAAACAAACCAGCCCAGGAGGAGGGCAGCTGAGTCTTATTCTACAAAATGTGACATCATAAAATGCACTTATTTTATAACATCAGTGTGGGATAAGCATGGTAAAGACAATTTAGATTGTGAATGCTGACAGGTGAGGGATAATTTTGCATATAATGTTGAAAACTGAATTTCTGGACTCCCAAGCACAAGCCTACTTGCTAACTACAATCAGTATGGGTTGGTTGTGCGTTTTGATAACACCTGGCCTAAACAGAAATGCTACATGCTGAATGTTCCACTCAACTAAGGACATGAGGCAGAGCCACCAGCTACGAGGCTGATCATGCATTGTGCTCCTCCACATAGTCTATTTCGATGGAGAAAACCAAGCTGTGGGGAGCTTCAGAGGTACAAATGTCTGAGGATGTCCTGCGACCTTGGCCAGTGACACCTGAGACTGGTACCCACAAACAACTGCGCAGCATGACACTGTCGTGACCTTCTGCCTAAAATTACTGGACCAGCAACTATCTTCCCTGTGGGAAGTTGAGACCTGGTCAATGTGACCTTGGAGGGCAAGTGCATCAGTATGTGAAATTGTCAAGTAAGGTAAGAGCTCTAATCTCAGTAAAACTGACATTAAACATCAGTATCCAAATCCACTACAAGTTGTCTTTTATTCTGTGCCATCCATGACAATAAAAGAAAACTACTGCAGTGCCCATGTGAAACTATCCTGGGATCAAACAACAACCATGGATGATTTTTACTTCCTCACAATTCTATACCTTTCAAAAGTAGGGACTGCAGCCATTAGGTCAGCAAGGCAGCTAATGGTACTGTTAGTATGTCATTTACATGTATGCTTTAGTAGCTGTAGTTTCATGTCACCAAAATCCTATTTTTTTTGTAAAAACAGTGGGGAAAGGAGCCGATCCTGTCCCCAACTTAACATACTTCATAGTCAGCCCTAAGGCAGCCCCACAGCATGACAAGAAGAGTGTGCCTAAGTGTAGCACAAGGCTACTGCTTTCACTGACCAGGACAAAATCTGCAGGATGACACAGTACCGTGAATGATACTGGGATTCAGGAGAAATAAAACCCAAGTCATGCCCTATGATACACAGCACAGTAAAGGTTCCAAGACACATGCCTAACCCTAAGATACTCTTTGTGTGAGTATATAGGATACAACTCTCCATTAATGCCAATAAGCAGGGTTCTGCTGAAGTCAGCAGAGAGCTGGTTCAATAGTACTTAAATTATACTGGAAATTGTAAGTTACCAGTTCATAACAACTACTTCTTGGAAAAGTTCATGCTTCCCAAATATAGTATTAGTAATCCTGTCAATCTTATAAGCAATCTTAAAATCATATTGAAATCTCAAATGGCATGGACTGCATGAGAATCTCAAACACAGCCTAAGTATGTCTCAGAATAGCACATACCGTTTCACATTTTTCTTTTATCCCCCTAATAATTATTTTAATATTAATCAAACCCCAAATATACTTCATACTGTTATAAATTACTTTGAGGGTATGAAATGTTATCACTATTAACTTATTCTCTCAGCATCACTGTGCAGTAAATATTTTTCCTTACTGAGCAGGTGGAAAAACAAAAATGGAGAAACAACAGTAAACACTACTATGCCACAGAAATGTGTGCCAAATGAAATTGAAATGCTGGATTTTAATTCCAGAGTAACTTCTTTTGACTAATATCCACTCCTTTTTTTTTTCACATTTTAATGTTGTTCACAATGACACACAAGCATTATGTTCAACAGATAGACTTCAGTTTCCCAAGTATGCAAGAAAGTTATTTCTGATGAAAACAAACTTTGCCTGAGAAAGTGGCCAAAACAACTAAAAAGACTGTATGTTCCAGTGTCATTTATAAATAGAGACCACTTTGTTCTCTCTCCACAGATAAAGATGCAGTCCAGAATCTCTAACATAAACTGATCATTTCATGGCAACTTTGCATGTTGCTAAGTTATTGCTTAGTTATGCAGTTAAGTCTTCAGATTTAATGAGCATGGAAAATAGTACATAAAGATTCTGCTTAACACCCTGTTCCTGAGCATCTGGTACTAAGTATGGCCAGTCTTTCCGAACAAAGATTTTGGGAAAGGTTTTTTACCTTTCGAGCCTGCGCAATGGATTTTTTAGGTGAGACACAGCATGCGCTGAACTGAGCCCACCCTTTAATCCTAAGGTTCATCTGCTGGGGCCAAGTGAGCCTGGACAATGGCAGTGAGGTCCTCAGGACGTAGGTTTGTTTAGAGTGACCTTCTCTTAGATGGATGGCCTTACAGGGCTGACGAGCTCCATCTGCCCGGGGGAGTTCCCTGACCGGGAATCGAACCCGGGCCACGGCGGTGAGAGCGCCACATCCTAACCACTAGACCACCTGGTAATGCGCTCAGAAAACACCACATGTCCAAAACTGTAATAAAGCAAAGGAAATGTGTTTGTTATTTCCAGAATGAAGTACTGTCAAATGTAACAAGGCTAGATAATCTTACCATGTACCTATCTGGAACTGAGAAACTTTACTAAATGCAGTTTAAACACCACCATCAGGAATGATTGATTTTTATGTTTTCCTCTGCTCAGTTTCTTCACTACCCACAACAGCAGGTACACACCACCTTTCCTGAAAAACCCCATACACTGCTTGCTTTACAATGGATTAAGTGACATAAAAGGTAGTGTGCAATAAAGATCCAGTTGGCAGAATATAATCAATCTTTCATCTTTAAAAGAGTTGGTCTTTCAGAACTTTTGCTTATACATTTCCATTTGGATGACAGGTGAAGCAATGTCAGTTTAACTACCTTAACTGTTGTGAAGTAAACTTCTCCACAGTGCTGATAAGCCACAAGGGTCTGTTCTTCTTGGTTCCGGGCTAGCCGTACAAACATCATCCAGTTTCCACAGTCTTCATTGGGAGTGTCCAGAAAGTACTTCCCTCCATCTTTCAATACCTGAAACAAAGGGGAAGAATGAACATGATAAAACCAAGTCCCGCATAGAAGCACATTAGTTTTCTTTAACTTGGAGTCACAGCTATCAGTTAGTTACCCTATCTTGGTCATATGTCCTTTGAAATTGTGGTTGTTTTGAAATAGATCACTCTTAAAGAATACTAACTGCAAAAGAAAGTGACAAACGAATACCTGCTGAGCACCCTGCTACTAAAATAACTGTAGGTCTTTGTATGTACTTTCAGTTTATATTTCATCATTTTTATGTTATATAGAGATAATATTATTAAGAACTAAGTGCAGGCAGGTAGAAAGATAAGCTTTATGCCTTAATCTACTTCCTGGGTACTTGATAATCTCAAACTTCAGTGCTGCTACATTTTGCATGGAACAATTGTATAACTTGTGTAATAAGTTCAGAGAGGTAACATACAATATAATGGCATTTTAACAGTCTTGTCTTTTTCCCCTTAACAAGCAAAAGTAAATACAAATGAACAACTGTGCCAGAAAGATCTCTTTCTTTTTGCTTTACTTCATTCTTCCCAGATTCCCTTCCAAGAAGATGCCTCTGTGAGGTAAATACTATTGTCTTCCAACAAGACAGTTACTTTTCTGCAATAGTGTCTCAAACATTGACCAACGAAGCTGGACAACAGTTGTGAGCACAGCACGTATCTGTTCTACTAGCCACGTAACTGAGCAATTAATTGCAAAAAAAAGTTGCATTTCCATTGCTTCTGGGAACTATTTTATCTAACTGCATCACATTTCCGATGAAAACACCTGCCTGTTGGACAAGTTTGGTCACATACTCATGGTAGAGAGAAGTCAAGGCAGCTACTGCTGTCATGTAGGAAATCTGGGACTCTAATCTCCTCTTCTGAAGAAACAGTCCATTCATCAGCCAGAGCTGTGCTTATCACTGTATACTTTTAAGCAAACGGTGCTGAGTGATAGAGGATAGGGTGTGGTTTACAATGGCTTGGTGAAGAGGAAGGAACTGGGTGCTTAGCTCATCCATCCATTGTTAGAGAAGTACATTTTCTGCATTTGTAAGAATTAAAGTGTCTCATAAAAAGACTGACGAAACTTAGTTATGGAGAAGAGCAAATCCTTTCTGGTGACAATATGCCATGAAAATCCCACAGATTATTCTCCTGGCAGTGTTATTCTCCTGGCAGATCATTCCCATGACTTCCATGTGCAAATGAAGTTTACGGCAACTACTGAAGCTATTACTTTTGCTCTCAAACAGAATTATGTGAAGTATTTTCTTCACAACACACACTGTTTTCTAGCCCTGAGCTTCCGGAGAAGCTCATACAAAGACATAAAGCGTGTCACAGGACAGCTGCTGCTGGTGTCTCTCCACTGGGGGGTTAGAGGGCCTGATATGAAATACAAACTCTGGAAGAACCGTGACCTGTTGAGAAGTCCTGACAGAGGCTGTGACTTGACCATGGACTTGCTGTATGACACAAGACGTGTGCTCAGGCATGACGCCGTGCAGCAAAATGCAAAGACTGGAACCTAGAGGATTACGATCAGCTATCACTCCCAAGGAATTCCTGTGGTAAAGGATGTGCACGTCTAAGCTAGGCTAGTCCTGTGAGGCCATTATTTTTGCTGGATAAAGTGTGAACAATAGTGTCATGGTCCAGATGAGGTGATTAGAACCTGCGTGTGCAGCAACAGATGGTACCAGCACTAAAAAACAATCTGACTAAATAAACTGAGTAGCGCACTGTGTGTCAAAGTTTATATATAATATAAATTAACACATTATTAAGAAATGTTTCCCATCCCTGCACTGTTCCTCCCTACTAAGCAAGTGCCTTAGTGCGTATTTCTGCCACCATCGCTAATTCAGTGCACAAACTCAAACCTCCCAGTGGCATGGTGTAAAGCACAAATCCTTTTGTGTTATCTGGGAAGACAGTTCAGTAGTCAGGCTCTGTGAAAAGTTTATTAAGAGCTGTTAGACTGATAGGTCCAACATCCTGAAAATGGTAAAACTAGAAAGTAGAAAAGCAAAATTCTAGAAAACACAACATACAGGAACATTTTGGTACTTCAGGTTATGCTGTATTGCCTAATAATGTGATTTACATTCATACTTACATATCAAAAGCACAATAAATTAACTAGATCAGTTGGCAAATTGACTGACTAAAATACATAAATACACATGAACTGCTAAAGATATATATGCACTTCACAGAATGTCAATAGGTTTTTACCTGCAGGACTAGCCTGCTCTCATCATAGCAGGTCAGTTTTGTAGACAGTTGACCAACATAAGGACCAAACTGTGTTCTCTTCTGTATTACTTTCTTTGCAAACACACCAAGGACTGTGAACAAAAAGAGACCAATCTAATATTAATATAGACATCACAAACTATTTCCTATATGTTTACAGCTGTGAAAATGGAGATAAACAAACAGTGCAGAACACATGGATTCTTCTTCTAGACAAGTAAGCCCTAATGTGAAGAATCTAAAAAGGATGTAAATAGGTACTGATTTTTTTTTTAAATGGGTACTGCATTGAATGCAAAAGTGCCTAAAGTCCATGACAGGACATTAAACTGAGTATGCAACACAAATGTGTTGCTACTCTTCAACCTACAAACTGATGTTATCATAGTGCTCTCCTTGTTGGCATAATCTGAGAGGTTGTTCTCTCCCAATATGAGAGGAGAGGATCTGTAAAAACACAACATTATTCTGCAACACTTATATCAATGGAGTGGCAGAATAGACACTTTGTCATTCTCTTTCTGAAATGCAATCTAGGTAGGACTACTTTTACACAGGTACTTGTGGAAAATTTGTGCACTAAGGACGTCTTTTCTTTGTTCAAGTCTGGGCATTCGAATTGCCTTGCCTTCAGAAGGAAACAACAGTCTTTCCAAAGTATGAACTGAAGATGCTGCAAAATGTAAATTACCCCACTGTGATCTTTTGCATTTGCAGGGGGTGGATGAGTGATATCATTTACAATTTTGTTTCTGACTTTTTATTGAGTACTCTTTCCTGTTTTGCATGTTTGGGGTTAAAAAAAAAGTAATAGTGCATGGCTGTTACTATTACATACAAATTCAACATTCATTAAACTTGAATTGACTGAACAGAGCTAGCTGGTTGCTCACAGCTAAATGTCACGCCAGTTCTGGCTAATGTCCTGCCATCAGTCTGTGCTTCTAAGTTAGAAATCAGTCATAAAAAACAGTAGCTGACTGTGAGCTTTAGCTGTGCCCAGCTGAAAATAAAGTAGTCTTCATACTGCTAATGCCCAATGATTATGCCTTGAGTTACTCATGAAAACAAGCCAGTGCTAGTACTTTTGCCTCCTCTTTCTCAAATGTGGGAAAAAGAGCTAAAATACTTACTCTGCTGGTTTCCAGCTCGCAGCTCCAACACTCGCAAAGTGAGGTAGTGAGGTAGGGTGAGACGGGCTCGGCTGGGAATAACTCTATCTTTAGCCTTGATGAGTGGTCCGTGGAGTTTGCATTCTCCTATAAGGCTTCTACCGCAATCCTCACACCCTACAAATCCAGAAAAGGGAACCTGTTACTAAAAATGGCATACTACTTTCATATTTAATCTCCTCTAATTTTGTCATCTTGAGAACACATCTGGAATTACTAATGCTTTTCTTCACACCAGTGTTCCACATAAGTTAGTGAAAAGATTATCTGCAAGAACTGAATTAGGAAGGTTTGAAATAACACCTCCAGTCTGTGCATTCTCTAGTGTGCAAATTGCTGGGTCCTGACCTCCAAAGATTTATACGTGTGTTCAATTGGAGATGTCACAAACTCTGCCTCTGAAGACTGAGACGGCAGCAAAACTGGAGCTCATTGTGTGCTCACCTATAAATCAAGGTGCATGTATGAAATGCACCAGAAATGAGAAGGACAAAGCTGTTAGTAACAACACGGCAAGATTGGTCCCTTCCAACCTTACCCATTCTGTGATTACGTAATCCTGTAATTTGCAGAGATCCAAGGAATTCAAGGAAGACTTTGTGTCTGCTGCACAGACCATTCTCAGTAGAAGACAAGACCCACAGTGTACCATGAAAAGTAAGTATGATGGGTCTTACAGTCACAACTCAGTTGATAATCACACATGGGCAGCCTTCTTGCAGGCCTCGCTGCCTATGGGAGTAAGGAAAAGGGGCACACCACATCTCCCAGTCGCTGGTTCAAATAATGACATCTGCAGGCTGAACACATGTACCACCCAGAGAAGTCATTAAAGAGAAATACATGTCTGCAAACTGACTTTCCCCTAGCACAGTGAGATATTTTTGGTTCAGTGCAGCTCAAACTGGTTGCCAGGGAAACTCATACTGAGCAGCTACAACTGAGCAATGAGACTTTCCAGCAGAAGGTCATCTTGGCACTGCTGTCACGCAGGGCGATGGGAAAAAGGGGACTTCTTGCACAAAACATTTTTATAGACAGTAGAAACCAAACCAGCGAGCCAACAGTGCTTTACGACTGAGTTAAAAGGAAAAGCCAGTATTGGTCATCCATGACTACCTCATTTTGTTTTCCTTATGAAAACTCTGCTGAGCAAGTCTATTCAGTAAGCGACAATACAGAGCAGAGGAGGGGAGCCAGCATAGTCAAGAGAGTCCAAGGGAGCCACAGGACGCTGTAGCACAGACTGGGGCAGAAGAGGTGAGGCTGCACCACAGACAGGGGCTTGTAACCAAGGAGAGGTCAAGAGAAGCATAGAAAGCTCAGGAGACTTTACCTGGGGAGACATCGGAGATGTCTTTGAGAAAGGACAGTAGCACCATAAATGCCATATTCAGGGTAGCTCAAAAAGGTTTTCGTTTGTAAACAGATGTAGGCACTTGACTAAATTACACACCTTGATAGTCTAGTCCAAAATCTCCCAAATAAGCCGAAGTGTTCCTACCCAGTTCTTTGGGCTCTCCATCAATTTTAAATGAGGAGGTAGACCTGTGTGTCGGTCAGGCTGCAGGCACTTCAATAGTGTGTATTTTTCAGTAATTTGGGGACCGTGTAAGTTTTCTTTTGCCGTGGCTCCCAGGCTGCACGCCTGCACTATGAGTAGCTGAAATACATTACTTTTTTTCCAAGTGTTACAGATAAAGAACATGCCCCTCTACAGCCCTCACTTAAAATGCGCAAAAACCAACAATACAAACCAGTGTACCTGAAAGTCCTTTACAGCTAGGCTGCAAGAAAAAACCAATTTCCTTGGTGATTTAACTTAATTGGCTTTTAAATAGATTCCAGAAGTCACCCTTCTGAGGACAACAAAATTAGGAGGGCTTCCTGAGCTTACCTAGAATAATAGTAACTTTGTCTCAAGTCAAACAGCTCCTGCTTGGAGAGTCATTGTATGCAAACTGCCAAAACACATTACCAAAAGCAAAATGGAGACAAAGAACTGCTGTTAGAGGAAGGATGTGTCTAATCGTAAAGTACACGACCTTATCAATCCATGCCATACCTCTGTGATTCATCACTACCAAGCTCCTGAGCAAACCTCCCAGCCTCCCCGGGGCAGTGCCCACCGCAGAGGCCCCAGGGTGGGCAGCTCACAGGTAGGCTGGAAAAGCAAAGCAGGGGAAAAGGGTATTCCTTGAATCGGCCTCCAAACTCAGCAGTAATTCATTAGCTAACCCCCTTAGTCCTCCAGATCCAAGACATAACGTCTGAAATGATTCACACAGTTGGGTACTGGGGAGGCACTCCTCTAAAATCAGGGACTGCTTTGCATCAGAAGAGGTGTTGAGCATGCCACTGAGCTTAGCAGCCCCACAGATGGCTCCCCAGGTAGCACATCTAAGCAACATGACAAAGCCCTGAATGAAATTAGCTGCAGAGCTGGAAGTGCTTTTAAGCACCTTGCTAACATGACTTGGGACCTGGCATAGTTGCATGAGCCTTGAAATATCCAGAGCTGTCCACGGCTTGTTCTAAGATTTTCTGTTTTTTTTTACATGGGACCTGAAGATAACTAGATTACTTAAGTTATTTAAGAGGCATACTGGTATTACATTCACTGCACAGTATTTCTGACTCCACACCAACATGTTAGTACCCTGACTCAGAATTTATTGCGCTCTAAAAATTGCCAGGTGTACCAGAACCACAGGACTAGAGCACTGCAAACAGAATAACTTCAGGGACTACCCTGGGGAACAGGGATCTTCGTAATTTCTCTCCCCAAAACTAACAGTGCAAAACAGCACAAGTTCACAATCTTCCTCGGAGATAACTACAGATCAAGTCATGATCCTTTGTATATCAGTGCTAAATTACCGATGCCATTGGTGAAGGAATGTATATATAGCTGCAGCATGGCACTGGTTTGCAAAGCTTACACAGATTTTATACCCCTTTCTACCTTGGCTAATTAAGTAAACTGCATTTTTTCAACAACAGCCTCAGACCTCACTCTGTTTTGAAATATCCAGCATCCAGCCATGGAAACAACACACACTTTGTTGTATTAGTACTAGAAATGAAATATACTTGGTTAGAAAAATCATTTTCTGTGAAGATTTGTTCTGCTTTTTGTTGGGCACTTCAGTACCTCAATGCTTTTGCAGTTTCCTTGCTCCCTTAAACTGTATTTACACAAACAAAATTAAAAGGCTCAAGGTCATGTGCAAGCATGCAAGAAAAAGTAAAACTGCCACCATTCCTCTGCTTTGCTGTGATTTAGATGAGCAGGGAACAAAAAGAAATAAATGAGATTCACAGGAGTTACAAGCTGTTAAAAAACAGATCGTGTCATTTACTATACCTTTAGAACAACAGTGCTATATTGTCCCCTAGAGGGTATTTCTTCATTCTTTCTCTGTCTTTGCAGTGATTCTGAAAAAATTCCAAATCATGCCTTTTTATCTATCTATAGATACAACTACACAAGCTAACAAATCTTGTAGCTGTTAAGATTTTTACTTTGCTGAACTTCACTGCAGCAGGGCAGAGACAGGCATACAGAAGAGCCTGGCACGGGTGCAGGTGCAGACTCCGACCAGGTTGCAGGTGTGCAGCCACCACCTTAATCGAAAGGACAAGGTGCCCCTACAAACTGCCTCTGGAGGGGCTAACAGAAGGGCATATCTGTACACCCCAAGCCTGGTATCCCTGTGCCTGAATCTGCTCCCACTTCTCCCAGCTATTGAGAGGCATGGTTGGCAGCAGGCATGGCTTTCCCTAGCTCTTTGGGTCATCAGAAAAGTGATACCCACTGCCTGCAGGATGCACTCCGACCACATGAGCCAACCGAACGCTGGTAGCATGTTCCCAAGGAGGACAATGGGCTGTGAATGTGGCTCACCTGTACCGTCCTCACCATGCTGGTTCTTCCCCCCAGTCCAGGTCTAGGTGACAGTTCTCCTTTGCTTCAGACTATACAGCCTGGCAGCCTCAGTGACCAGTCTGCCTTGCCCTCCAGATGGCTCTGGGGCCAGCCACGCTGCACAGGGACAAGCTCCCACAGCCAACAGTAGCCAAGCTGGCACGTCAGCTTGGGCAAGCTGGACTTGAGCACAGTCAACAAACTGGTTTCCAAAACAGCAGCACTCTCGAGTACTGTGCCACCCCCACAGGCACAAGCCCAGCCTCGGGGAGAGCTCATTAGTGTGGGCAAGGAGCCACAGGCTGCGGTTACGCAGAGTCCGCTGCAGAGATAACAGGAGCTATACATAACCATACTAGGAACTGCAATCACTGTCATGATAGCCCAGACATGCCACCAGCTCCTTAACCAATCAGCAGCAGAACATCACTTTTTAAAACCAGTTTGCTAAAAATTAGATGCCTATCAGGACGTCCTTCCTGCGTTTTCTCCAACCTCTATTTTCAAGAGAGACTTTACAGTACCTGAACACTTCAGTGGCCCACAAGATGCCTGCGGTACAATTATGTCCCCTGTGAAGGCAGAGGTAAATCATTCCTTCTAGAATGTCCACTTTGAGCAAGAAACAATCGGCGTCTGAGCAGCACTTGACATTTGCTGTGCTGTTTTGCAGCATTAGAATTAGCTCCCATGCGCAGAGGGAGCAAAGATCAGTGTACACAACAGTCCAAATCCTAGACTAATTACAATCATAAGATTTGCATAGCAAACAACAGTAATTTATCCCAGAGTAAAACTGTACTGCTCCGTTAGCCTTGTTCAGCTTTCACATAGAGAAACGCTGCAAAAATACCGTCTGGATGTTTTCTGTCCAAGATGCTTTGCACATATCAGTCTTGGTTCTTCTTACTCAAAGGTGTGCGAGGTGGTGCATGAGGGTTTCCTGCCCTGTGGTTTGTTCTGCAGTACTCTGTACTGGAAAAGCTTAAAAACCTTGTTCTACAGTATAATTTATTTGGCAAAAAAGTCAAAGTACTCAACTAGCAAACAGTTAATCACAAGTTATTTTCCCATTATTGTGGGCCACTGACACAATTCCCACTGTAAAAAAATGTTTATGAAAGAAGCCTTATGTATCCTAAGTTTGATGTGCAAAATGAAGCTCTTAATTAATAATTTATCCTATTTATATTAAAGTAAAATAGAACTTGCTATAATTACCATAATGCAGAATGTCATGCTAAATTTTCTACTGACTGATCTTCACTTTTTAACTGTAATAACTGATCCCTAATCCAGCATCACAATAGGTAAAAATTTCTTCAATGTCTCCTTTTCACGTCTATGTCATACATCAAAACCTTGTATTAACAGAGAGGTACAACTGCTCAGCTCTACATGAAAAAAAAAGAAAAAAATAAATCAAGAAACCACACTCCAGGCTGACTTTGCAATCACAATTGCTCACCTGAGCAAAGACTGAAAACTTGCACTTTTGTGCTTGACACAGTGTATTATTTGGGAAGCAGGTACTATATTTTCCATAACCCTGCAACCAAAACAACACCACCTGCAAAAAGAAGGAGGGAAAAAAAAGAGATTTACTCTTACGTGCTTAAGAGGGAAACTTTATAGATTTCAAGCAGTGAGTTCCCACGCCTTTGACACACGAAGACCATGAAGCCTCACAGTCTGCCTGGTGGCACCAGCAGGGACACTGTGGATGTGCTGCTGGGGCAGTATCAGCTCCTTACCAAGGCCTTTGTGCTGGTCACTGCCATGCCCAGGCTTTCTGGCGAGTGGACAGGAGCTCCTGAGATGCAGATGGAGGGGTCCTGCTCCTGTACAGGAGTGAGCAGCACCCTGCACGTAAATGCCTACACCCATTGGGGCCCCCTCTCCCTGGGAAGGAGAACAGTAGGTGGTTTGCAAACATCCCAGAAATCATTCTTAACATTAAACATATTCATGGGAACATGACCTCATGCTCCTAAAATGTAAAACTTTAAAAATGAGTTACTATATTTGGAGACAGAAACAGAGAAAGAGAACAGCAAACATGCCTTACTGCCACCCCACCCCATACATTCAGTCAGACTGGCAGGTTGAGCTAATTCCCTAAAACAGGGACCCAGCATTGCAGGTGAACCCAGCCCTCAGGCATCTTGACCCAGCCACTGATCTGCAGTGACGCTTTCCCTCATCCCTCCAACCTCCCCATGCCTCTGTTTTTGTTCCCCAGAAGAATGAAGATTTGGAGGGAGGGCACATCCCTGGGTTTCCAGCAGTGGGAGATCATCTGTCAAGGCATCTGCTCCTTCCTCACAGCAGTACGATCTTGACAGCACAGCTGTTCTTATGGAAGAATGCCTCTAAGAAGGGAGGCTCAGCACTTATCTGACTGTAAAGAAACCTTCTAACACAAAGCACAAATGGATTTTCCTGGCAGACACAAGTTCCAATATGTAAAGTCTTCAGAACTCCAAAACTATTTGTTATACAAACATATACAACATAACAACAACTATAATTCATTACTAGTTCCTAATAGGGAGTAATCGTGATGACAGTCAAGCACATCTGGGAACAGTTAAGTTTTTTGCCTGGTGGCCACGAAGTACTACAACAGGCATAGCCAGAAGGAATTTCACCAGTTTCCCACAAAAAGTCAGTTTCACACCAATCCCAATGAGGCTACTGTGCTCCTTCTGTCTAGAAAATCTTAGCAAAACAGTTAGAGAAGCCTCAAGGATCACAGCTGGGCTGTGAAATTTAGCAGTTTCATCAGGTTCCTGCGCAGCCTGTGCAGGAAAAGCATCTCTGTGCTCTGCTTTATCTTACAAACTTCCCAGCTAGGAGGGAAAAAAGTTACCTTCACTGTTTGAACACCTGAAAGGGCAGTAACTTACAAGTCTTTCCTATAAAATTAGAGAAAAAAACCCTCAAGAAATCCACAACACACAAAACAACCCCTCAACAAACCAAACAGCGGGGAAAGTATGTAGGTGTGTTTATCACGTTTAACTTTACTGCAGTTTGATCAACTGATTTATCAAAGTTCTTGGTAGGTTCATTCATCTAAAAATGACCTGAGGTCAAAAAATTCATTGATTGATTGAAAGCTAATTTAAAAAATAATCTTTTGCTTGTTATTCTTGGTATAAAACATACGTGTCACATTTCCAGTACACCACATGGGGTTTGGTTGTTATCAGAACCCATATACATAACGACCACAGTTCAAGTGAAATCACCTCCTGTAGTTTACATTTAATAGCTTCTAATCAGCACAAACAAAGAGACTTCTCTCATTGCTAAATGCTGAACACATTTCAAACAAGGAAATTCAAAAATGCAGTTGGATTTTTCAGGGTTTTTTTCCCTTCTCTCCCTCTCCCTCCACTGTCTGAAGTCATATAAAATTAGATCCAGAAACAGGAAAGGAAGTTAACAGCAAATTCGCAGAAACAACTACAATATTTTTACAAGAAAGAGCCTCAGCCAGTATAGCATGGTCCTACAAAATGCCCAGCAAGAGCCTCCTAAGAGCAAAGCCTTCCTGATGCACTCTGCTCATCTTCTCCAGCAGTCGGACCTGGTGCAAGGCTGTGGCTCCTTGGCTGCAACACCTTCGTCTTGCTTTAGGTCTTCCCTAGCACTGTTCAAACCACGCAGCTTCTGTACTGCAGCTAGCAAAACTAAAATCCCCCTGTTCACAGAAACACAGACAGCCATCAAGAGAGTCATATTCAAACTGCTTATAATCACCCTGGGGCTCCTGGGCCACATATTGGACTCCCTAATCTACATCTCCCACAGCACTGGTTCGACCTACCACAGCTGAAGAGGCTTTCATTGGTCACAAGCAAAGAGGCCTTTTGGGGAGATTTTTGACAGGCTGGTTGACTTATTTTAGTGTCAGACCTTTTAGTGGAGAATGTAAATGCTATCGCGGCAATTTAACACAGACACCAGAATTTTCCATCTTTTTACTAGCAGGAAAAAAACCCAGGCACATATGTCTTCCTAAATGTATGTATGTATAAATACACATGTACGCAGCCACACACACACTATATCAAGTGCATTAATACAGTTGACAGTTTTACTGATGGCAGGTCAACACCATGGTTTCAATTCTGATAAACGAAGTGCAGCAATTGTAATGACTAAAGCTCAGTATTAATTAGTTGAAATATTTCCAACCCTTGCAACATTCCCTTAAAAGGGAACCTTAGATTGGGTCTCTCTCTCCATCACTGACCTTGGTTGTTACTGCCCACCAAGTCCAGATGCTGTGTGGAGGAGACTGACAGAAGGCTTGGTGGCAAAAGCTACCTCTCCTTAGGAAACCAATCCAAATCGATTCTTGATTTTCCACAGATGACACAACTTTCAACATGGACTTGTGGGAACTTTCCCAGCAAAGATACTAGCAGCTGGGATATATTTCCAGCTGTTTACTAAAAGAAGGAACCAGGCAGGTAGACATGCTTTGGAGAAAGAAATATGAGTTTACTGTAGGATGCAACAAGGAAACCTGGCATGACAGAGCGAAGAGATATTGTACTCATCCCATGGCTGGAGAACTTGAAGTCTTTAGAGGCAGTTATAACAACATGAAGCAAGCCACAGCTACCAGGAATAAAAGTGCAGTGCAAAAATGATGTGACCCACTTCTGTAGGTATTAGTCTGTGCACTTAGCTCTACTGATGTGCAAGTAGCCACATTATGAAAGAAGGAAGTCCATGGGGAGAAGTGAATACACGGACACATAAGACTGGTTGGCGCTGCGACCCTGGGGTCTGTCCTGAAAGAACACTCCAATGCATATTACATTCAGTGGAAACTATGCCTGAATAAAACTGGAAAATCAGTTAACTTCCTCAATGAACCACCCAAACTTCCTACTGATATTCCAACTCACCCAAGAGAAAAAAAATTTTTTTTTTTGACTAATGAACCCTAATGTATATATTTAAAATACTGAAATGAAGGAGTCTTCTTTTAAAGCATTGGCTTTTGTAAATGAGAGGTCATTAACAGCTTAGCAGAACAGCTTTAGCTCTTATTACGCATCCGCTTCATAACAGAGGATACTGCCAACAACTTCTGTTATTCCCTGC